GAACCCAGATTTAAAACCTTGGGCATACTGGTTAGAGAAGTAGTTGAAAGCTCAAACTAAGTTTTGATAAATGAAAAGTTGAAAAATCTCTTCGTTTCTTCAACTAATTTTGGATTCCGAATCCAGTTATATAACTAATTAGCTATTGGATATGCTAAACATGTAGAAAAATTTCAAACTGAGTCTAAATTCAATTCTGAGAGCTACCAACTGGATACAAAACACACACAAACTCAATATTTTACATGATTCCAACATCATCAATCACCAAACCATGGGAATTGCAGAGACAACTTGATTCAATGAAAGTGTAAACCCAAAACCTAATCTGATAATAACACACACAAATTCCTCACAATAGATCAATAGTTCCACGCTTCATTTCATAAACTAACAACAATAATAAGCAAGGTTTTAAATCTAGATCCGCGAACATCAAAGACACCAATATGTTACAGATATAAACCTTGATAATAAGTTAATAAAAACAATATTCTAACGCTATTACCTCGGAATGATCGATCCCGTTTGCGAGCGGTGATTTGGAATGAGCGAAGCCGTTAGAATTGCGGCGATCGGAGACGGCGGAGTTGTGGTCGGCGTTGGAAGGGATTCCGCTGTACATGCGGAGGAGAATTTCGTCATCGTCACCGTCATGAACATCGAGTGCGATCTTGTTCAAATTCTCTTTCAGATTGGCAATGGTGCCCCACATGATGATTCAAATTCCCAAAATCAACACCGAAATTGTAGCAAGAGATTGATGGAATCTTTCTTCAACTTTCTCTTTTTATTTATTTGTTTTGTTTTGAATTAGTTTTTATTGTGTTTTGTTTTTCGGAGAATTGAATTTGAGAGAGTGAATGTATTGAAAGTGGGGCACTGCCAATGTGCATTGAAATTTTTTGGGAGATCTCAAATTAGAGACCGGGTTTCTAACAAATTTTTATTATTTTTTTAGTCAAGTTCCAAAAAAAATTAATTTACCTAAAATAAAATTCCAAATTTTCATTTTTCAGATAAATTTTAATTATTTATTAGAGTTAATTACACTCGCACAGTTTTAATAAAATTACACATATTATCCATCCAGTTTTTACCCCTACAAAAAACTCATAGATTTTGTACATACATTACCCAAACTACCACTGCATGTGAAATAAGTGTGATTTTTTATATAAAAATGATGATAAGTGTAACGAAGTTAAACAAAATATGGTATATTGTAGAGACAGATCCAAATAGTATACGAGTCAACACATTTTCATTATTTTTGTTCGTTACAAAATACATCAATAATTATAATGATATATTATTTAAATCACTCTTATACGATATTATAATGAATAAAAAATAATGAAAATGTGTTTACACGTATTCTATTTGGACTTTTTTCCACAATATACCATATTTTATTTAACTTTATAACACTTATAATCATTTTTTATATAAAAAATCACACTTATTTCACATGCACGAGCATAATGTATGTACAAAAATCAGGGGTTTTTTTTATGGGTAAAAAAATGAAGGGGTGATATGTGTAATTTCACTAAAACTCAGGGTGATCTCTATAATTTTACTAAAACTCAGGGGTGTCATTGTAATTTACTCTATTTATTATCGTGGTTATTACTTAATCTAAAGTTGGTTATTTACTTCTGTATCTCGTTTTCATTCTAGTTAATTTCAGACATTAGGTCATATATTCTTGTAGTGTGAGATAAAGATTTATGCACAATTAATATGTTATTCATCGTTCATTTATATTTTTTGAAAAGTTAATAATCATTAAGCATCAATGATGAATGATATATTGAAGTGTATGAAACTCGTAAACTGTCAATGCATACCTTTTTTTTCCATATATCTTGAGGATCTTGTCTTTGTATTTGGATTTGAAAGTCTCATGACTTATTTATAATTAGAAAGAATCTACTTATTTCAATAGTAAATTTTTTAAACTTAATTAACATCTTAGCCATCAATTCTAGAGAAATCTAATGGTTTGAATTAGTTAATAGATCTAAACCATTGAATTTATCTAGAATTGATGGCTAAGGTAGGGATTAAATAGATATCTTCTGTCAAAATTATAGACATGTTCATCTATCTATTTATTGATGCTGACTTATTATTGGCCTCTTTAAACATAAAAGCTTTAGTGATAATAAGCTTTTAAATATCCTTGTAGATCAAACCACATTGAAAAAGGTGATACTAATCTTTTAAGTTTGTTCTATGTTAGGACAACGAATCATGTCAGAATCCTAAATGTAAAAACATACCAAAATGTCCATGTTTTGGTCTGACCGAGCTTAATCTATTTCACCTCTAATGACCTGGTTAATTTGAGGCATGAGGTCATATATTTTTTGTGGTTCTATTTTGTTATCAGATAATTTAAGGGTCCAAGGTTATTTATGTTTTGTATTTGAATTTGAAGGCCTAATGAACTACTTATAATGGCATACGATTAACCTCTTTAAACATAAAAGTTTATTTGAAAACTTTAAATCATATATTGAAATAGGTCATACCAAGTCTTTAAGTTTGGTTTATATGAAGACAACAAATCAGATTATAACCCTCTTTTTACATAATCAAACCACAATTTCTTATAGGTAATGGTAATTACATATGTGCGTAATAGGATAATTTTACAATCTCATGATTCTTTTTCTTCTTCTTAGGTAACATTATATTACATCATACTTTAATTTTCTTCATTTCTCATTCAAAGCTTTTAATTATTCTGACTTTGTGATTTTTGTTATAGAGAGTTCATCATTTTCGGGATAATGTGGATGAGAATTTAAAGAATTATTTTTGTTTTTACATAATCAAACAGCATAATAGGATAAGAATTATTTTTTGTTCCCTAAACTCATATATCTTTAATATAAATTAATATGAGAATATTATAATGAATGTGCATAATAGTATAATAGAATTGATCATGTGAATGCACATATAATATATATTATTGATCATGCGACAAAAAGTATCGCCCTACGAAACGTCTTAAAGAGAGCGACCTCGTCGTAACTTATTCGGTAAGTATTATTTCGTGCTGTTTAGAATTGCTGCAAGTTACGATAACAACAATTTTAAGACGTTTCCTACTGCAATGACATGCATATGCACGGAGCAGTATTTTTTGCCACATAATCAATAGCACACATGTTATTCATACATTCTCATGGTTAAAAATATACATGCATGTTACTTATACATTCATATAGTTAAAAATATACATGTTACAAGTGCATTCATATCTATTATATATATAAGAAAAAAAGGTTATTGCCACATCATCATGAATATTGATGAAAATTAATATTGATGAATTTTAGAATAAATGAATTTTGTCTTTATCAAATGATTCAGCGTATGCGTGTCCATGGTAGATGATGAAGATGTTTGAGAGAGAAAATGAAAAAAACTTATGATAATTAATTGATTTGGAGTTTATTATATAGATTTAATACAATGTGTGAGAGTACATAATAACAATATGGACCAATTTTGGAGGCAAAAAAATTAAAGAGAAATTGACATGTGTCTATGATGATGTGACAAAAACTTTTTTTCTTATATATATAATATATTAAATGATATTATTTTGATGGACATATAATTTAAAAATATCTATTTTGTAATAACATGATTTCGTTCAATATATAATACATCAATTTTAAAATACATATTATTATTATTATTTGATTCTAAAATAACTCTGTACGAAAATTCATATAATTAAAACACATTAACTCACACAATTTTAGTTTGAAAACATTACCTCCTATTTTGAATACAAATTTGGAAGCAATGCAAATTTACCAAAAAGGATAACATGTCAAAATTTTAAGATAAAAATATTAATAAAAAAAGATAAAAGGATGAAAATATAATAGACAATAGGGATGACAAAAATACTCGAACCGTGGGTACCCCGTCAAAATATTCGTAATGGGTACCTGCAAAAATAGCTCATGGGTGAGAACAAGTATCATGATACCCACCACACGAGTACCCGCATATATATTTTAATTAAATATTTTATATTTATTTATTATTAATTTAACATTATATTTGTTTATTTTATTATTATTTCATAATAAAATTTAGTAATGAGAGTATAATCATATACATGTCATATTATTTAAGTAAAAATTAATTTTATAAATTAATTATTGTAAAATATATAAAAATGTAATTATAGTTGGAAACTCGTTGGATACTGCAGATGGTGTGGGTACACGACTTGCAATTGCACGGGTATCTTGACAATAACAATGATTCATAGAGTTCAAATTCCTACTTTTTTTTTAGTGTTTGCATGCTATTGAAAATAGAATTAAAAAAATGGAAGAACTAGTTCGGGCCACATGAGAAGAACATTACCATGATTTATAGAGAGTTGAAATTGTCTAGTTAGTAAAAAAATAGATGAAAAAACAAAAATTAAAATGAATGAAACAATAAAACAACTAATATCAAATTTGTAGAGGGTACATTTTTGTCTTTTCACCTAACATTTCAATTCATACATAGAGTACATAGTGGTTCCATTGGGTATAAAAGAGGTTGATTTCTCTATAACACCAAACCCTAATCTCCTTCCCCAGTAGTAATAGTTGTTAGTTTTATATATGTGGCGCTTCTCTGTTTAACAAATATTGAGATGCAATGAAGAGAAACAACCTTAGATTGTAGATCATTCTGCAACATGATCTTTTCCATTATCATTATGGTTCGTATTCACTGAGCATCATCATCATCATCATCATTTCATTCTTTCTATCGTTTTTCATTATTTAATCGAAGGTTCCTATGGGGGAAGCGCAATAATTCAATGCGTATTTCTTCAAGTTTGCCTTCGTATATTTATTCGATATCAAATCACTAACCAAGTGTTTTCAATTATTCATTTGGTTTGGTTCATTTTTGTATTTTGAATTTCGGACATTATTATATTTTTTATGTTGAGATTTTGAATGCGAAGGTCCCAGCAGAGGGGCGAGTTACTCTTCATATTGAGGCTTCCCTAACGATTCATTTTATACGCTTCGCAGATTTATTTGCCGAATCGTAAGATGCTTAAATGTTTTGATTTTTTGTGCATCTGGAACTTCCGCTATATATGTAAACTCACACTCGTTAATTAGGCCACTATTTTTCTTTTAAAATACTATTACTTAACTAGTATTTTAAATTGTGGTAGCTTGCCTTAATTGTTGCGTGGTCATTATTACCATTGCGATGTGGATTGTGTAGTGTGAATACCAATTTTTACCCGGCCCATAAAATGGGTCCAAACCAGTTTTTATTTAAATTTAACTAAAATATATATACTTTTATTTATTTCGAAAATAATAAAAATAGAAACACAAAAATGAAATAAAAGAAAACTGCTTGGAATAACTGTTTGGAGGTTCCCTATGAGGTGGGGGAGAGGGTCATGCTCGCAGCTGTTTGAGATAGTGGTTACCTAAAAGTATACCTGTCAAAACGGGCTACCCGGACGGGTTCGGGCTAGCCCGCTTTTGATTCGGGCTAAAACGGGCCGGGCTAAAAAGCCCGGTTATATTTTATGTTGCTAAAAATGAGGCTCAAACCCGCCCAAAGCGGGCTGCGGGCTGCGGCGGGCCGGCCCGGATTATTTTATTATTTACACAAATGCAAAAAAACTGATGCTTTTAATGTGTTGTAATCGATTACGAGTATATTGTAAGTGATTACATCATGTAATGTAAAATGCACAGGCAAGAAAAGCCAAATGAGAGGGAAGAAAATGAGTAGACAATGGCCCGAACCCGAACGGGTAAGCCCGGCCCGAGCCCGAATTTATTGTGGTTCGGCCGGGCCGGGCTAAAAAGTCCGGTTTAACTAAAATACTCAAACTTTAGTACCCAAGCCCGCTATACCCGGCCCTATACCTTTTAGTACCCAAGCCCTATACCTTTTCGGGCATTGGTGGGCCGGCCCGCTATACCCGGCCCATTTTGACAGGTCTACCTAAAAGAGGGGATAAGTGGGGTGGTTCCCAAATGTTTAGGGAGAGCAGTTTCACCGTTTTTAATAAATAAGGATCATTCACACAGTAAAAGGGGGGTTGGAGGTGAATGAGGAGGTGACAGATTCATAGATGCAATTTACTGTGTAGTTTTCACATATTATAAAACAACCACATACACAAGCAAAAAACAACACACAGAAAAATACATAAAGCCATCCCTTCTTCTGTGGATTCATATTCCAGTGCAATTTCTGTACAAGACGGTCCTTCGCACAACATTCTGCAGAATCAAAGGTCCAAAACTATCGTAATGGTAAATATTATTATCACCTTCTATTCTATTTCATAGTGTATGGTTTTTGTTAATCATTTGATTTTCTGCCCAAATTATATGTGCTTGTACGTGTTACCATTATCATTTGAGTTTACTGTGAATTTTTGAACCATGATGGCCTTGTGTTATGATGGAGTAGAAGCAAATATCAACTATAGAGATTCTAAAGGACATTGTGTTAAGGGTCTAACATTTTTTTTTATGAATTGAGTTATCTCAATTAGTGGGGCTTTTGTTTTGTTTTTTTTCTTCATTCACCCACTGTGCCCTATATTAAATTTTCTCATTAGGAAATGTGCCAAATCTCTTTATTTATAAAAGGAACCAATGCACGAAATGGAACCAAATGAAATACTACACTTAGTTTAGTGTTATTATATAAATATTTGCATAACTGAGTTAACTAAATTTCAAGGTAAAATAAATATATAACTTTCTATCTCTGCAATATTAAACTTGTTGATACTGATTCACAAAGTTTGTTTAGGAAAGGTTTTAATAATAATTAGGTAATTGAAATAAAAATGTTTTTTTAACAATCTTCAGAGTAAATTATTTTCAGAGTTTAATAGTTAATTAATCATTCATGAATATTTTCCTTTCCACTTCGAGCCGAGAACTGGTTGCGGTCACTTGTATGCTTCTGCTATTTATCGAAGTGAGAAATAATAAATAACCAATGTCAACTTTCATTAATAAAATTTCTCTTTAAAATGTTTAAGTTATTTTTAAATAAAAAGTTTTTGGGATTCAATAGCGAGGTTACAACTCGTATGACATATTTCTCCTCGTTTCGAGTCGAGAACCGGTCGTCGCGGTTACTTGTACTGCTTCTGCTATTTATCGAAATGAGAAGATGTATGCTTCTGCTATTTATCGAAGTGAGAAATAATAAATAACCAATGTCAACTTTCATTAATAAAATTTCTCTTTAAAATGTGTAAGTTATTTTTAAATAAAAAGTTTTTGGGATTCAATAGCGAGGTTACAACTCGTATGACATATTTCTCCTCGTTTCGAGTCGAGAACCGGTCGCGGTTACTTGTACTGCTTCTGCTATTTATCGAAATGAGAAGAGGGTAAGCAGCCAATGTTGACTCGTCGTCTATTAGTCTCATTTCGATTAATTTCAAACAAATTTTTAACAACTTTTAAATCAAACAAAACTCTAAATAACTTTTAATCAAACCAACAAACAAACGATTTTTAAAAGAACTACGTAGTCTTGATTTCCCTATTGCACCTAGGGATACGTAAGGGTAAATTAAAAGCATGCAATTAATTAGGGTACCGTTTAGTAACGGGCGGACGAGGTGCTAATACCTTCCTCGATCCGTAATCGACTCCCGGACTCACTACTCTAGTTTAAAAGACCAATTTTATCCAATTTGGACATAATTTGAGTTTTCCACGTTTTAACCACAAAAGACGTGGTGGTGACTCCTCAAGAGGTCGCGTGGCCGAAAATCTGGGCGCGACATGCAGTTCTGTGAATTATTTTGTTATTAAACAATATTTGTTAATCCAATGTTGTCTCATGAATTATTTTGGATTGCAGCTGCATCATTATGATTTGGAGTCTAACTGCAATTGTGATATGATGTGGTTGCAGTAGTAATCACAAGCACAATATTGTGGCCGCATCAGGTCGCATTCTTCAAACTCATCATTTACTTTTGATGTTTTAAATTATGGGCTTGTTGCAGTTGTGAAGAAAATTGCAGTCAAGTGGGCTGCAACTCGAAATTTCAAAATTGTAGATGCGGCTATATCTAAATCACAATATTATGGCTGATTTAATATCTAAATCACAATATTATGTCTGCACTGAAATCTAAATCATGCCATTAAGGCTGTGCTGATATCAAAACTACAAAATTATAATATTACTGCTGGTCACTTAAGTAAACTTTGTTAAGGGAGAGAAACCTTATATATAGTGGAGAAGTGGAAGAATATTCTTTTGTAGATGTTTGTTGATCTAGTTGATCAAATGGTCTATTAAGTTTGTCCCATATAAGTGAAGGTTTATTTTCCATGAGTTGGTTCTGACAGATCTGTTTTCATTTGATGAGACATGTAGTCACATTTTGGGTGAGCGAGTCCGGGTTGGGATGAAATAAGGCTTGTCCTTACTTGACCCTAAATGTTGGTCGGTTCATTTTTTGAACCCATATCTAAACCCGAATTTAACCTGACCCTAAATATTCACATGATCGGTCTTTAAATATTATTTATTATTATAAATATGTAATTTAACATATAAAATAATACTATATATATGATGATGAAAAAGTTAGAGAATCAATAATACTTTCGACAAAAAGGTTGTATTACTGTGTACATATTTGAATAGAGACACATACAAACATCATCAGTAACCATGGGATAGGTCGAGACGAGTTATGTTTGGTTTCTACCCGACCCTAAACATCGACTGAGTCTAATTTTTGAACTCGAACCAAGCCCTAGACCCGATATGACTCAACTCTATTCGTGCTCGATCATGACTGCGTGAGCGGGTAGGGTTAGGTGCTGCTCACCCCTAGTCACATTATAGGTCCAACTAGTGCATGACAGCTTGTGGCAGGAGCCTAGATTGTGTAGATGGCACAATAGAATGATAGCTGGGGTGAGTCCATGTTGTCTTTTTGGGGACAAGACGCTTCTTCATGTTGCCTGGTCTGTATGGTCCTTAGTCTAGGAAACTTAAGGATTATCTTTCTTGCCTGGCTTATGAGTTTGTCTGTCTACCTAGCCAACCATGATGTGTGTGCTCTTGCAATGGGTTGAGGAATAGCTATATTTGATAATAGAGAAACTAGTGGAGGCATTCAATATATATAACCCTTGTATGCACCACAACAAGATGTAAGAAGGTAGAAACTGCTTAGTCTAGATTATCCCTATTATTAATCACCATGGAACTTTATTAAGAAATGCATTATGATTCTGAACAACTCATGCAGATTCAAACAGAACCATTTCAGTCACACAAAAAAAGAAGGAAAAAAAACAGTAGACAACCTAAGGAGGAGTAGTGTATATGCACATTTAGCGAGTTTTATTCACTCAACTGTGCAAGAACAAAGCATGAGTCCATGTGGAAACAGTCCCAAAATGCAATCAAACAGTAGCAACTAGCAATGCCATAGCCATACCATAACTCCCTTCAACCTAACAATTGTGCTTCTTTAGAGAAACCAATGTCAACGGTCCAAATAATCGAAATTTAACAACCTCAAGCACTCATCAAATAGCTAAAGAATCAACCGACAATTAAGTCTTAATCCCACTAACGAGATTCTTACCCACTTAGACACTGAAATAAGTAGCAGCTGTATGACTCTCTCAACAACAAAAAATCATTTCCAAAAAAAGCACCTTATAAGTTTCATTCAATGTAATCTAAATAAACAATACCCTATAGACATAAAAACAGGTACATGCATCAAAAGGGAACCTTACTATAGTTATACAGTAGCAACAAAGGTATCAGCATAATTTCTTATTCCCACATTTTGTACAGCATTTCATGAACCAAAAGTTTTTATGCATCAAAAATAGTGAGCAGTTCTAATAAAAAATGCCATTCATTCAACATCAAATCCATTATGCAATACATGATATTAACAACAAACAAAATAAGAAATGAATTCATCTTTGTCGTGCCCCGATTTTCGGCCGCACGACTTTCTTAGAGTCGCCACTACATTTTATGGTCAAAAATGTAGAAAAATCTTTTAGCCCAATTACCATGGGCTTTGGATTTCTGATATCCAGGTTCGGGGGTC